ACTGCTTCTCATAATGCATGTTTATATTCAATTCCCATTTCGCACTAATGTCACGCAGCGCTGCATCTAAATCGGTAGACGCTTAAACTGGAGATTCACAATAATTTGCATTTTATAGTTTTCAACCCAACTATCTCGCGGCATTTGACATTCATCTGTTTTTCTCCCGTGATAAGCCATCGTTTATTGTAGAGTAAAATTAAACAGTTCTTATGATGTCAATATGGATAGCTTGAGGACATCCCACTTCTGATATGGCACTAACGAGGATGCTTGTTCACTAAATCGTTGTTTGCTGGTAAACCAATCAGTATCAACTAAATGTTCAAAACTCGTGTGGCGCTCATACTGCACATTCGTACTCCCTTCCGCTCCGCTCCGGTTATGCGGTGTGTGTGTAGAGCTGTGGGTAGTGTGGCGTTTCTCTCCCATCCATAGTCTCACCATGGGTATAAACACACTATGCCTGTTTGCAGCTACAACGAGATTGGATTTCAAAGCACATATGCTGCTGACTGCACTCTGTATCGCTTGAAACGAGTTAAGCGTGGTGGTTCACCTCACAAACCCATTGGCTAGTCCATGGTGGCCCGATTGAATCAGCGGAGTTACCTCGCGCCACCAATCCTTATGATGGAGGAATTTATTCACTAACATTACATGCTCCCGAGATTTCCCTCAGAGATCCGGTGCCGCCTTCAAGATGCATGCACAAGGGCTAATGTTGAAGCTTGTCTGCTGTGTTGCAGACTTCCCAGCCTCATTGTTTGTCCTTTTTCCTCTAGCACACTAATCCTGATGACTGAGTTGAATGCTGTTTCTTTCCTGCCAGTGCAGTACCTTACACGATGATGTTTCGCATTCATCCCGCTTTTGCATACCTATCAAAACAACGGTGGACATTTTGAAACGATCAATCCACTGTACGCCAGAGCACAGAGTATTAATTGAATCAGCTTCAAGCAGTTTTACTAAGTAAAACTGCTGCGATATCAGTACCTCTTAAGTGTTTCATCACAGCTGTCTTCTGCCGTTACGAAAATCGACACACTTAAAGAATACTCGTGAATAATTCCCATGAAGTCAGGAATTCACATTTCAGTGGAGCACATTCTCTTCGGTACATCTCATCAGGCATTTACAATTATAGAGCAAAATTAGAAAACCGATAGGTTGATGAAAGCTAAGTCTAGATTAGAAAGAAACACGAAATCCACACAATTGATTGGCTCGGCATGGCCGCTCATCGATCAATGTCATAGTCAGTCGAACCACGCCGCTCGGACAGGACACACACACGGTGGGTGAGAGCAGACAGATCACCGGTGACAAATGCTGGTCGACTGTCATATTTAAGGTGAGGAATTCTCGCCGGAGCGCGTTCATGGCCAAGGTAAAATCAAGATTTGCACAGGCGTCGGTTGTTCGCACAGTTCTGGTTTCAAAACCCTGATTGCGAAAGTCTCGGCTGTGCCTAACGAGCGTTGCTTGAGTCCATTGCACTATTGTTTCGGGATGGTATATATGACTTTGAATGAGTCATTTGCCTGAGTCTGGTTTCCCGTTTCAACCAAATGCTCAAGTAACGAATTATTGATGCCCTTTACGGTGCGCTTTTGTAGCGACGCAGGACAGTGTTCAGCGATCCCTTTAGACAGGCGCCTGGTCGTATGTCCGAGGTACCTTGCACTACAGGTGCAAGTGAATTGATATAGGACAACGATTCGGAACGGACCAGGAGTCTATCCATCAGATGCTGAGAAATCAGAGGTCTAGTTTGGGCAAGCAATTTAGTGTTGATGAGAACAAGGAGACCGTTTGGTGAGCAATTGCTTTCAATGATTCATCATCAGACCAGTACAATCATATATAGGGCTAAAAACTTAAAGGGTAAAATCGACCAGTTAATACAAGTAAAATGGACGAAAAATCGAAACGAGTTAATTGCATGTTACGGAGTTTGACCTCATGTCGTTGACCTCAGTATCCCCCGTTTTCTCGGACCATGGAAGTTTTAGAGCCTGAACTAGCTTCGTTTGCGAGCATACGGACGGTTGTAATAATCGAATGCAATTTGCTTCGGCCGTCGCAAATGTACGAAGGTGTTGAGCATTCGATCGGTGCGGTGGGACCTTGTATACAACTCTAAAGTTACGCTTTAGATCCACCTGGTGCACACTCGACAATATGAGCCAGAATGGAACTGCTAATGGCCCCGGTGCCACCTTGTTGCAACCAAGGTGGGTAATGTTCATGCACGCGTTTGGACAAGTGCCGCACCGTTCGACCGCTATACGTTGCGCCACAGGCGCACTAGACTTGAAAATAACGCTGAGACGGTCGGCATGGGCAACCTATCATTGTTTCGTGAACGGACGTGTGGTTTCGTCGAAAGCACTCACTTTAGCGTAGCTGCTGCGAAGATCGAGTTAATTGCGCCCGAGAGACTTCAAGTTAAACGCACAGTAACTGAGTCCATTTGAAAGGTGGTCGTATGAATAGCTCTTTCTTTGCCGCTGTTAACACTGGAACACGTTTAGGCTTTTTCCCAAGGTTTCATAAAATAAATCTGTCGGTGTATCCATTTTCGCGCAACACATTCTGTATGAACTTCAGTTCCGCATTTAGGGTGTCTTCCGAGCAGATTCGACGTTCTCTCTTGGTAAAACAGTAAATCAACTTGCGCTTATATCTCAGAGGGGCGAAATTGTCTAAATTCGCGATATAAGAGTCATCGGACTAAATTTCGCTTCTATCTCATTGGCGCACTGCTGAGGAAGTGGGTGTATTGGTCTACTCACGTTGGCAAATGACAACGTGATTGCGCCACTGGATATTTGAACGACGCCTTCATCGTCTGTTACGCTTCCATTGATAGAAACCATTTGCTAGACAAATTCAACAGCATACACCCGTCATTGAAACTGAAAACGACGGAAAACTGGCCTTCATTGACCTGCTATTGTGCCATTGTGAGTATGGTCATTTGAAAGAAGTGTATTCCGAAGAGCGATGTGAGTAGTCCAGTACACCCACTTCCTCAGCGGTGTGCAACTGAAATACAAGCGAAATTTAGTCCGGTGCCTCTTTTATCGCGCTAGCGCCATCTACCGCCCTGAGATGATAAACACTGAAACTCAGCTCATTTTCAGTACATTGCAAAATAATGGATATCCTCCCCAGTTCATTAAAAAGTACTCCACACTACCGCATTCCACCAATACTGTTACAACATTACCAATAAAGGACATTTTTGTTACAGATCCTTTTAAAGCGGATATTGTATTTGAACTGTTAAGGAGAAAACTGTCGGCCACAATGGCTCATACATTCCCAATAGCCAACGCTGTACTGCTTGCCCAAACTAGACCTCTGATTTCTCAGCATCTGATGGATAGACTCCTGGTCCGTTCCGAATCGTTGTCCCATATCAATTCACTTGCACCTGTGGTGCAAGTTACCTCGGACATATGGCCAGGCGCCTGTCTAAAGAGCTTGCTGAACACTGCCCTGCGTCGCTACAAAAGCACACCGTAAATGACATCAATAATTCGTTACTTGAGCATTTGGTTAAAACTGGAAATCAGACTCAGGCAGATGACTCATTCAAAGTCAAATATACCATCCCGAAACAATACTGCACAGCCGAGACTTTCGTAATCAGGGTTTTGAAACCGGAACTGTGCGAACAACCGACGCCTGTGCAAATCTTGACCTTACCTTGGCCATGAACGCACTCCGGCGAGAATTCCTCACCTTAAACATGACAGGCGACCAGCATTTGTCACCGGTGATCTGTCTGCTCTCACCCACCGTGTGTGTGTCCTGTCCGAGCGGCATGGTTCGACTGACTATGACATTGATCGATGAGCGGCGATGCCAAGCCAATAGACTGTGTGGATTTCGTGTTCCTTTCTAATCTCGAATTAGCTTTCATCAACCTCTCGGTTTTCTAATGTTGCTCTATAATTGTAAATGCCTGATGAGATTTATCGGAAGGAATGTGCTTCATATTGAAGTTTATTTTGGTTTCGTGAATGGTCCTTGCAGCCATGCTCAGTCTGATAACTACCACAGCTCCGAAATAACGCTAGACGTCGGTTGCTTACTTTGGGGCTCGGCAGTGGTACGCATCCTTTGCAGCCAGTCGTTGGCGGGTTTCGGGGGAACAAAGCAGCCAGCTAGCTCTTTCCCAGAGGTCTCGTGGCCTCAGCCTAGACAAGCCTGAATAACAACTGTTACTCTCTAATTAATGTTCATCACCTTAGCAGCATGCGTGCTGCTCTACTTGGTGGTGGCTTGCGAAGGATGTCTTAGTTCTGGCGATCATCCCTGTCCTCTGTGCGGCAGCTATGCGCATGACTTTGGAGGATGAGCCGCGCCATACCGCGGTTGGTAATTAGCCGTGGTGGTCCACCGCCGTCACTCAGCTCACTGGCTGAATCCTTCGCATCCTTGAGGGTAATGTCATGAATGCGAATCCCGTGGATACACACCACCGACAACTTCCAGTACTACAAAACAGCCACCTAAAGCCCTTGCGGATTCGTACTCATTACCTGGCTGAGTTAAGTTGTGATGGACCTTCTCATGGAATCCACACGCACTCTGTTGAACCAGTATCCAGGTCGATCACAATTGGCTACGCGGCGTCCGTTATGTATGTGGTAACCTTTATCGCCTGAATCACAATTACCCTGAAATATGAATGGCCTATTTAATGTCATCTTGTATTTCTAGAAGAGGCCCAGAACAGGCCACATCACTTGTCGGTGACCGTGTGCAACATGGCGCAACCACGGAGTCAACAGCGCTCCTGTACTCGGTCACTTGCCTCTAGTTAGTTACTTTTCAACTTACTTCTTTTCCCTCTTGCTATTTTATTTTTCTTAACGACTATCCATCCATCCATCACATTTCGGTGCTCGTTTTAGTGAACTAACCTGTGCCTCCATTTCTTGTTACACTGAAAAGCATCATTTTGCATTCCTCACTTTCAGATTGTAACCAGCATTCTGGGTGCAGCGGACAGGGTGGTACATTTGGCCCCAATCTACCCGGTCAGTGACTCAGAAAACCCTTGCAGCATGAACAACGAGTTACATCGGAACATATCTTCCGATATATCACTCACCTTGTTGCGCAGTTGGATCGAGGGTGCTCGTGATGATTTGCACACACATCAGCTTGGACACATGAAGTCATTGCATCGTGCTATGCAACTCATGAGGATGCTACGCTGTCTACCAAACAGTCCCGAATCCGTCGATTTACTAACACATGCATCCACTCTGAGTCCCCCTGCTATTGATTCCCGAATGATGTACCGCCAGTCAGGCTCTTGGCGTGACCAGTTAGTGGACGTTCTTATTGGTTGTGGGACACCCACGTGCCTGTCAGTGGTGCTTAGGCGTCTGGAAGCCTTAACCGAAGCTGCTAACTTTAGCAAGCCGGATGACATAGCAGCCACACGCGAAGAGCAACTCGCTCGAGCCATGTTGTTTGGCAAATTGTGGCCCCAGCTAGCTCACGCCGAGCGATTGACAACCAGTCAGTTCGAGCGGATGTTTAATTGTTGTCTGGCCGTAACCAGTACCACAAACAGAATAGTTTGTCTCATGGCATTGGCAAATCTGTGGTCGACAGTTTTGTCTGAGGATGGTTCGGTGCGAGAATTACTCATTCACTCTGTTGAGGAACTGCTGTGGGGCAATTTCGAAGGTTCTGAAAGAGCATCAATCGGAGAAGGCCAGACACTGGAGGCAGTGAACGATAAGAATTCACGGATTATGGCCGCTATCACTGCGGCTGAGGCACTGAATGCTGCGGAATTAATCAATTCACTGCTGTCACTCATCAACTTTGCGGATGTTTATCCTTCCGTGCGAGCAGCGGCCATTCGATCTGTTGGTAAGCTATTATCCAAAGCCAAAGCGAATAACAACCAAGAACTCAAGTATAACGTCAAAATGGACGAAGTTGAAGCAGTTCTAACTCAACTGTTGCTCGAAGAATCCGAAGGTAATTTGGTAATCGATCGGGAAATTGTCCATACGCTTCTCATACTTAATCCTTATCCAAAATCGATTACTAGACTGTTTGCCACATTGGTCGAACAGAATCGTTGGGTTCTAATACGAGAATGTCGCTTCCTAGTAAAGTGGTTGTGTGAGTCCGACGCACTACATCCTGCGGTTTGTGTTTGTTTCGCTGGTGATGGTATATGCGATTTGGGAGCTGCTGGCGGTTGGTCCGGCTTAGCCGCTGACAACACAACGACCTTTTACAATTCAAGTTCTATTCGAGGGGAACTGTTTAACATAAATGACACACTGGTAGTGGACTACTTATTACAACTGATCAATGGCCCCAGTGGCGAGCTGTGTTATTCAAAGTTATCTATGCATCTGTTGGGTCCAAATGGTGGTGGTCGTTTAATGGAATTTGCCATAAACACAAACGGCTTGGAAATATTCTCCCAAAGCCTAGGCTTAACTGATTCTTCAAAAGAAGCTCCCACTACTGAGGGCGCTTGGGTAAACTTGGAGTTGCAGTATTTCAACACCAACCTTCCTCCATGGACTGTGTTCCAAGGTGGAATGACTAACATGATGAAGACCCTGTGGTCTGCTTCATCGGATCCGGCACCAGTGCTGCAGTTTCTCCGCCCCTTCGTGGATGAACGTCAATACAGTGCGTTTTCAGCCGGCTGGATCCTGTCTTTGGACACTTTGGGACTGTTGTCCGTGGACTTGTCCATGGCAATGAAAGTCAGCATCTTCACCAGATCCGGTCGTAGCCTTGTACGCATTCGACTGGCACTGGTAAGCGAAGTATACATGCATGTGGTGCATGAAGCGGAATCCGTGAGCCGCTCGACACAAGCCCTCATCAAAGGCTTCGGTGGAGACGGGGAACTGGATTTTATCACACAGGTTAGGGTGTCGGATCTGCCTGATGGAGTGTGTATGGCTATGAACCGAAGAAATGACTTTCAATCGCTCTTCTGGGAAGGTGTCCGTTCAGTGTCAGAATTTCGACCAGTGCCAACAGGCACACTGAACTATCGAGACATAACTGAGCACTCGGATTATCGTATAACACACAGTTTGAATCTACCCGGTGTTTCATTTGATCTGGGGGACGCGAACACAAAAAGGTGTGTCAAAATGGGTGGAACATTTCTGTGGTAACTGAACACCACTTTGTGCTCCTACTTGATTTTACGTTCGGGTCTACTTCCCGGTAGAACGACTAAGATTTTACTGAGTATTTGTATAAATTTTGTATCATATTCGGCAGTGCGCCACACCTGTAAAAATTGAAATTAGCATAATTTTCTTTATTTCGTTGATGGGTGGGTGTCCTTTTGGTTAAGTTGTAGCCGCACAAGTCGAAACAACTTTCTAACGGGTAGCGTGATAGCTTTAATTATTCACTAGGGCCAGCCCAGACTGCCCAACAGCGACTCTTACAGGAAGAACGTTGCACGCTACCACCCTAGCGATGGCTAGGCGGAGGCTTCGGTCATTGGTACAGCAATCTAAGGAACAATACCAATGGTCCACCTTTGCAACCAAGGTAAAAGTGATGTGCATACAGTTGGCATGGAGCGTGTGGGTTACAATTTAGTATCATTCGCCACAATGTGTCAGAACCGTATAGTCGACACCACACTAACGTATGTGGGTTTCCTACTGATGGTGAATGTTAGTTATGACTATCAAGGTCAACCAAATAACAGGAGCGTAGGACTCATTCTCTTGTCTAATGGTCCCTAAATTAATGCCGACCCTTTGTCATCAGGCCTTCCAAAAGAGGTGTCAAAATATTTTTGGCAAGATTGACAGGATTTTCTTCCCCCGGTTACCTCCCAGGTATTAACTTATAACCTCATTCACCAACTTATCGAGCGACAAAGAAGTAAAATAAATAAGAATACGCCAAGTTCCCATTGTTACAAAGTGACGTATCAGTCATTATTCCATGCTTTGCCTACTACTTTGACCGTAGCATACGCCCAAACATTTAATTGCGGTCATGTTTTGACTAGAATTTCATGTGCACGTATGATGGCTTAATACTGTATGGGGCGACAGCGTCATTCATTTCTAACCTGAAGCTCTACTTCGGGTTCCTGTAGCTCTGGCTGTTCATCGTACACTTTTCCGGCTGTGTGGTCAAATCGATGGCGTCAGGCTTGTCGATCGCTGTAGAGTCTGCTGAATGTGTTTGTCTCCACCCCGAAATGTATGGTTGACCTTGACGCGCTAGAATATCGTGGAAGACACTGATTGAATAAACACGTGCAACAAAGTCTGGCTACGATATAGCCTGGCTCATCCTCCACTGCCATGTCAGTTAGAAACTGTGCAGAGGGCAGTAGTTGATCCTACGAGCTAAGACTTTCCGCGTAGCGACTGTGTGCGCCACAACACTTAGAAGCTATACGGACGACTTTTTAGATTACTACTGAGTAGTGGGGATTTTGGTATAATTTCAGAGGTAATTCGTCGCATTCCACTCTCAGCAGGCTTTAGTACGCCTGGAAAAGCGCCAGACAGCACAGTTTCGACCTTTTGGGCGTCATCAATGACAAAATATTCTCAGATCCAAGGCAGCCCGGATTGATTGAAGGGATATGGGACCAAGCGTTTCTTTGGCACTTGCTAGAAACGTTTCCGGTGGTTCCGAGTTTTAACCTTTATTTGCAAACTGCTGTCGTCTTACTGTTGTATACGTATTCTAATTCTGCTTAATGTTTCCCACTTTGCCAAATCTCTCGCTCAACACCGACGCAGATGCACCCTAGGGGCCCTCGTCTAATGAGTCCAATGCCGCTTGCGGAAAGACCATCTGTTCAAGGATTTTCACGGATTTATTTGGTGGCACAAAGTGTGTTATATGCAACCGCCAATCTCACGTACGTTTTACCGGCCCCAGAGCAGACCAGTACAATCTACTGTCATCTAATGAAAATTTGCTTTTCAGCTGTGCTGACTGTTGCGTTCGCAAAACAAAGTACCTGGCTTTCGCCAATGCTGAATTTACAGCACTGACATACAGGTTGACGAATGTTAAGAAGAGCTTACTAAAGTGGGTTTGGTTCTAAAATCATCGCATGTTGCAACTAAGGCGTTGCGGCAGGTTCTACCACTTCTGCTGATCCACGTATTGGGGTCTATCACTTGTCCGAAGATGCACCCATCTTAGTGGGCGCTCGTTACTTTGGAGGTAACTGCCGCAAGTGGATCGGATAATATATTTGACTCTGTTCAAAGTGAAGGCGATTCATGGACCGCTGTGCCAAACGTGAATAAGCGTAAAAGGGCAAGGAAAGCCAATAAGCCCTCTCCAAACCGGAAGATGTGCAAACGGTTGAGCAGGGACACGACATTCTCAGAAAACGTGAGGTGATTTACCTTCCAGAGAGGCCAAACGGTGTAAATAGAAGGGCACATGGGGTGAATACACCGCATCGAGGTGATTGTTACGCAGATTGCAGTGTGCTTTTCAGAAACATCGCTGGATTCACTGCCGCTCTTTCCACCGAGTTCATGTTAGATAACCTTGGTTGGTTTAACGTTCGTGACCGCGATTTTCCCATCAGGGTTTAATTGCGTAACTGTCATCAGGCTAGAGAACGATCGGGTTTATAATCCAAATCATTGACCTTACTTTTAGAAATGCAAGGTCCTCTCTACCCCCAGAGGAGCGCAGGACGTCACTGCGATTTGCTTTAAAGCTTAAAGTTAGTGACGTCAGTGTGCAACCTGACTTTCCGTTAGCGGGTAAGTTAAAATTAAGTGAGCCGTCAGCAACCACAAAGCCCGGCGTGCGACTGACGAGCCGGATCTGCTTGGTGGGTTTTCAGGGGATCAGTCAGCTGTCAGTTTCCGTCCTACCAGACCTGTTCCGGTTGCGCACGATCTGGGGCCGGTCGTGTGGAGGTCATTCAATTAGGACTTAGCAATTTTTATAGCCTAACGAACAAAATGTGCGAGGTACGTCTGCTCGTAGACAAACCTTGTTTCAATATACTTACCTTCACTGAAACCTGGTTATCTGAAGAAATCACGGGTGACGAAGTGTATCTGCCAGGCTGCACACTGTTCCACGCTGATCACTCCATTTGTCGTCAAGGGAAAGGTGTAGATCTTTGTTAGGTACCGCTTAAACGTACCGAGGACCATCGGTTTTCAGTCGTTAGACAAGACTTGAGCCTCTCACAGTCATGTTTTTCAGTTCTTCAGTTCAATTTACAGCCGGTAATATCTGGAAGCCCTGTACGTACCTCCAAGGGGGCCGTTATACACACTCACTGAGTGAACGGATCTGCTGCTGAGTGACTTCGATCTCACAGTGGTGTGTTCAGCGGACTTATCTTGTAACTTGACACAGACCATTCAGGGTAGACCTGCTGGGGTTTGAGATGTAATTAGTAATCTTGTGAGTGACACTAAGGTGACACGTATCCTCGCGGCTCTCGCCTTTTTGTGGACCATTCATCACCATTTCACTGCATATCACCTAGCGTGCATTCATTCTACTCGGAATCATCTTCTCTACACGGTGGATCCATTCCACCCGGATTATTCTCATCGCTTCAACCTCTAGCTTGTGTCTGTGTTTTTCGCGGAGTTTGCCGGGGAATTCACACGCAAAACCTCGCCAGTCGCAGCTTTTCGCGGATTTTTTTTACAACCCTTTGGATTTTTACATCATTCGATAGAGAAATCTTTCCGCTTGCTAACAAGTCTTCAGTCGCTTCACAGCACCACGGTGCATAACAGTTACAGAAGAAATTCATTTTTAACTTGCGCACTCAAGCGCCCAGCAAACTTCACGATCGCCATCACATCTCGGCCAGATCAATTCACTCACTCAGACGAACCAAGCACGTCCTACACGGCCTATTCAAACGTGACTGCAGGATGCACAGGCCCATCACGCGTAAGTCGATCAACGTGTCCTCCGACCA